TTTAAGTCTCATTAAGAATCCAAAAAATAACCAGCAAACCCTCACGGAATGGAAGTGTGATCCAGCTAAACGCGAATCTCACAGCACAGATGACCCAGCGGGTAGCGGGGTGATGTTGTGATAGCACAAAACCAGAACAGTGTCTGGATGCAATCAGGCAAGGGCCCGGCAGCCCCAACGTTCACAACTCAGGCTCTGGAGCCTGGCAGCCTGGGCTCAAACCTCCTGTGAGCCATGTGACCTTGGCAGGTTTCTCAACCGCTCTGTGCCTCAGCCCACCTTTAGAATGATGATAATGGTATCCCTCACAGGGCAGTTATGGGGACCAAAGGGGTTAATATATGTATTGTTTAGAACAGTGACCAGTACGTAATATGACCCGACTCTTGGTCAATGTTAATTTATTTTACAGGAAGGTAATGAAATATAACAGACATTAACAGTTATGTCAACAAAGCAGGAGGAAAACAGAAGTTGTGATGTGCAAGCCCAATTAGAGATGCAGGAAGTGGGGAGGGTGGGAGGAACATAGCCCAGATTCCCATGAAGCTGGCACAGAGGCTCCTGTGTGAAGCCCAGGCCTGGTGCTGGACACACCTGCTGAGTCCCACAGCCCATGGGACCCCATCGGAATGGAGTGCGTCCGTCCCCTGCTGCAGCCCCGGGGACCCAGGGAAGCGCCTGTTACATTAATTGCTTAGTGATGTCACTCGTGACCTCTAGAAAATATCAGCACCCACTGATGGAGTGTAAAAGGACAGAGGTGGTGAGCAGCTCTGACGGGGGCGGTTTGCATCTAATAATATTTCCTGGGCCCCAGGGAGGCGGGTCGCTTTCATCAGTTTTGCTTTGCCATTTTTCTGTTAGCATTCAACACCATTCAGCCACCTGTAGAACCTCATGGCCCGTAACATGGGCAGGTATATAATGATTTTATATAACAGCCCAGATTTAAGAAATGGCTGTCGCTAATCAAACGCGCTTGGCTCTCTGTTCTGGAAGCAGCAGAAGTGGCGCGTACCTGAGGATGNTTCACCTGTAGGCTACAAGGATGCAGGTGAGGAGCAGATCAGGGCAGATGGAGGACAGCGAGGGCACCCCAAGCAAGGCCCCCCGCCCACGCTTTCCTTCTCACACCGCAGAGTCAGCTGAGCGGGGCACACACACGCACACACGTACACACATGTACACACTTCTCTCGAAGAGTGCAAATCTCAGTGCAGCAGGCTGAATCCCCACCGAGGAGAAAAAAACCTTCCCGTGAGGATGAGGTCGCGTGCAGAGGCCCGGCCCACAGGAGGGCCCCCTTTCCTCACTACTGTGAGGAGCAGTTCCCGTTTCTCTGACCAGGTATGGGGCTCCCAAGATAGGCTCCAAGGTGTCAAGATGCCTTTCCTTTTTTTTTTTCTTTTTTTAATTCCTTCCCTCTTTTTTTTTTTTTTGAAGTAGTGTCACTCAGTGCTTGCAGGAAGGAGACTGACCATCGGCCAGAAACAGGAATTCCAAGATGTTTACTTACACAAAATTTTTTGAGACCAGGTCTCCGGCTCTCAATGGCTTGAAAAAGCAGGTGAATCATTGAAATCTCAATTTTCCCGGGAAGGCTCCAGCCCTCAGGCAGAGCTCCTTGGACTCCAAAGGCCGAGAGAGCAACAGGACAGCCCATTCCCTTGTCCTCTGCAAGACACAGGAGCCCGGAGGGAGAAGGACATCTTCCTTGAAAAGTTAGAAACTCTGGGAGGGATGAATTTCATGCCTGTGTAATAGATATATTGGGTTGTCGGAAAAGTCATGACGCATCTTTGCAACGAAAAACAGAAAAAATACGTCCTGACTTTTCCGACAGCCCAATATTTAACTAATAAAGAATAGGCACGAGCTTTAAAATTTATCTGACTTATTCCTACGTCCACTTGTTACAAGGTCTGACTGGGATCCCTCCACCTGGAGGAAAGGTAGTGGGAAGAGTGCTGTGGGCACCCTGGACGGGTTTCTGTCACCGCTGGGACAGCGCTGTGTCAGTTCCGTTCCAGATTTCAGAAAACACTGACTGGCTGCCTATGTGTGCCCAAGACCCTGTGACATAGCGGTGAGGAGTGTTCAGGGACATCCTCATCAACCTGTATTCAGCTGTCACTATTGGTTACAGGGGCTGCCACTCACCCAGGAGGGGATGTAGGTGATGGGAAATTAAAGTGAAATGAAAGATGTAGGGGTGTGTCAGTAATCAGTCCTACTTGCTGAGGCTTATCGGTGGGACTAAGGGGGAATTAGCTGTTCTGAGGGAAAGGGATGTCAAGTGAAGGCCGGAGGCCCTGCCTAGCACTTAGGGTGTTTTCCTTGGAGAAAAATATGGAGCATAGTGAAGTTGACCACTCCTGGCTCCAACTTTATCCAGGCCTTTCAGAAGGGTGCCTAGGCCAGCAATTCCGCTCACAGCCATGGGCGCCCAGGGCAGCGTTCTTACCCACCTGGGGACAAGGCCCGCCCTGGAGTGGAGGGAGGTGATGTACAGTTAAAAATCACAGCTGGGATTATAATGATTGGTTTGGTTTTCGTCATAATATTGATTCTGAAA